TTTTTCATGTTAAATTGTCTGTGTTTGACAAAATGTGCTGATTTTTCACATGTGATAGCAGAACTGAATTGGGCATGCACAGGATGAGTCACATCATTTGAAACTTAGCCCTGATTGGAGAAATTGGAAGTGTTACAACTGACCCATGTTACAACTATCCCCGGTCTCCCCTATCTATATTTTGTTACAGTTACTGTTTAAAAAGGTGGTAATCAGAATACAGTTACTTTGTTGAAATAAAAGAGTTGTTGAAAAGTTGATATGTATGATAACATGGCGGTCTTTCCTGTTTCATATGTTAGGCCAGAGGTTCCCAAAGTGTGGGGCCCGCCCCCTAGGCGGGGCACAGAGCCATTGCAGGGGTGCGAGGTATGAAAAGAAAAGAAAAAGAAAGAAATGCTTGGACACTGGTAGCATAATGGACAGGTTTTTGGCGGGGCTCCCACACAAACGCAAAGCAGGAGATGAAACATTGCCAAAGACTAGAAAACATGGTGAAGCATATCTTCCCTTTGGCTTCACCTGCACAACTGCCAAGGTAGGTCTCTGCGACAGAATTAGTTTTCCCTGCATGGGGAGCATGCGCTGGGCTCTCCAAATCATGTACAAACAGAATCCCACATTTTTGATTTTTAGTTCAACAACACTTCTTGTAATGTCTAACTACTCCTGACATTTTGGAGATGATAGCTCTTTATACAGTAAAGTTATAGTGGGATACAAATAATATCAGGCTGATCCTGCCGAAATTTGTTCCCCTTTTCCAAATCACAGACAAACAGTATCCCACAGTTGTTTATGTTTTTAAACCCATTTTGCACAGAGAGGCATTTTTAAAAAATGTATTGATAGCAATGTTGAATATTATTACACAGGAAAAACAACAACTACAATAATAATAATAACATAATTACACCGTGACTCCTCTGCTTTTCTAAATGGAGGGACAATAACTGTGTGTGTATATGTAAACGGAGATTTTTCTTGTAAAAACAAAAGGGGGCCCAGCAAAAAAAGCTTGGGAACCACTGTGCACTATGCTCTCTCTATTTTTTGGTAATTCCACGCCGGCGGAAACCCAAACAAAACATGCATTAAGAGGCTCTAATGCTTGTGTCTCAATCTCGTGGCCCATGTCACCCCTACTTGGGGTATAATGATGTGAAGAAATATTTTTAAAAATTACTATTCAAAAAATAATTTACTGTCAAGGCCATAGGCAGAGTGTTTCAGGCATATCCCTGAAGAATGTAGCCGCAAAAGGAACAGCAGTGAAGATAGCAGCACTGAGACAAGGAACAGCCGGAGTCATTGAAGTTATTGCAAATGGTACGGCCTCCGAGGTGCATGATGGGCCTGACCCGCCTGTCTGAACCATGAGGCAAAGGCATGCTGGGGGTGGAGATTGTGGGTTTTGAAGGCTCTGGTACAAGGAGCTGGGGTCAAGCGGGAGAGAATGGAAGGACAGCGCAAGGGCTGTGGATCGTTTTGGGCCGGGACTATGCAGGCGGAAGCGGGATGTGACGGGGCTCCAAACGACTTGCAGGAGAGAGAAGAACGGGCGGTGAAGACGCGGCAGTAGATTTCCTGATTGAGACTGCCCCAGAATGTGTCTTGGTTAAACTGATGAAGGCGAGTAGCTGCCTGAGAAGCAAACTGGATGTAGTACTGATAGAATTCAGTGCCGCCAAATTGTAACGCGAGGTCAAGAATAATGGTCAGATAGGAGTCGAACATTTGTCTTCAGGAGGGAAAAGCGGTGCAGAGGATTCAATTCAATTCAATTCAATTTTATTTATATAGCGCCAAATCACAACATAAGTCGCCTCAAGGCGCTTCATAGATACAGAG